TTTGTTTGCGTGCGTGTGTGTGCGTGTCAGAGAGTGAAAGATAGAAAAACAGTGCTGTAATTTATGCTACACCTCTGACCCCACAGTTCTTGGCCGCCTGTGTTTCTGCTGAGGTTTGCTGATGAGAGAAAAAGGCAGTAGATCAGACCTCTGAGAGGAAAGAGGTGGGAGGAAGATGAGGCTGAAGCAAGAGAAGCAATATGATTAAAATGTTTCTATTTACATGTACATTAACCACGGATTGTTGTGAGAGGGAACAAAGGGACGTTCAGAAACTCAGACTGTATATCACACTGATGACAAACTAGAGACTGGGAGTTCGTTCCTCACTTTGTAAACAGCAGTTTGAATCCATGTATTAGGGAGCTTTCAGTCAAATCAGCTGATCATCTTCACCTAATTAAGTCATTGTGGAATTGTAGCTGTACAAATTTACATTTTTCTAAATTGCTTCAACAAATGAGCCTTTTGTTTTTAACATGACTTTTGGCCCTCTATTCATTTGCAGCACACTGTTTAGCTAACCTTTTCATCCACGTTATCTTAAACATGAGGAGTGCTGGTTAATTCTTGTAAATTGCAGCTGAAAAGACACTAAAGGTCTAAAAAAGGCATAGTTTGACATTTTGAGAAAATAGAAATTTGTCTGTGAGGTAAAAATGAAGGTACACTAAGCAGCCAGCTAGTGTAGCTTAGCATAATAACTGGAAGCAGGGGGAACACAGTGTGGCTCTGTACAAAGCTAACAAATGAACATAGTATGTTTTATAGTATGGTTTTAAGCCTAAATGTTATTGTCTAAACTACACATTGTGGTTTTATGGGGGAGTTATGTGGCGTTTTGTGCCAGAGGCATTGCTATGTGGGTTTTATTACTTTGTTTCCGGGCTAAATCAGCTAAGATAAGCGGTTGTAGCTTTAGCTGTTAATATTTACCATGCAGTCATGAGAGCTTTTTATTCTGGAGCTTTTGATCATATCACATAACCTTCATGAAAGAAAAACATTTATTTTGTCAACAAATTTGAGAACTTTTCTTTCCTAAAATTTCTTTTATTTCCATTCCCTGTTCACTCACTCAAACACTTAAACGGATCATCCCTGCTGCTTGAATGGGATTGAGGCTCAAATTGCTGGGTAGGGGAAAGCAGTAATGCAACAGCTTAATCAGGATGAGAGCAACACACACACACACGCTATGACTGACCACTCATCTCGAGACACGTTCTCTCCATCCTGTTTTCTCCCTGCGGGCCTCCACCCACACATACTCATGAGCCCTGTTTGTGCTGGGTGGACACATATTAAAAGTTTTGTCTAAATGTTTTTTCCTCCATTAATGTGACATTTAGTTTAAATAAATACGTGAACAGATAAATTGTCAGAATAAGAAAATGGTAGGGGTACAAGTGGGAGGATGTTTCTTTAAGTCATATGAAGAGTAAGCAGATGACTGTGTAAAATGGAAAAATGAATCCTCCACTTTGTTCTCATGTTAAATTATAAAGCCATCAGTGTTTTATATTTTTATTTTCAACAAATCCCAAGAAAACACCAAAATCAACAGTTAACTGAGCCTAACGAATATTGTCTTCTTACTAGTATTATCCTCTGAACCACAGAACTCCATTGTTATGGAACAAGGCTATATTGACAATTTAACCTAACACATTATAAATTGAATTTAAGCTTATTTACACTAATCACTGGATTCTGGTTCACCTGAGGTAGCCATGTTTGCAGTGTTGGACAGTAGTGAACTACATTAAAATTCAACTAGTAGTTTACATTTTGCAGTAGCTTGCTGGTAATTCAACTACATTTATATTTGCAGCCGTTCTTTGTGTAGTTAACTACTGAAACTACAAATTGAGCAGGCCCAATTTCCGACCAGTGTTTAAGTCAGTCAAATATCCAAAAAATGTTCAAGTTAAATGTTTTTCACCTTACTGTTTTAGTTGTAGTCAGATAACATCCAGATTTGTTGACAAAAATATAACATTCATTGCAATTTTGTCTTTGTGAAAACCCAAGCTGGTATTGTTTAGTTTAGGTCTCCGGTAATAAACTCAACTGAGTGGCCTTTGATAATTCTTTACAAAGTGAGGCAGCTTTACTTAACCAAGTTAGATTTGTGCCTGGAGTAGCTTTGCTGTAGTTCAATTTCTTTTGGAGTGAAGTAATTTACAAAGCCAAGTAGTTTCCCCAACACTGCAGATTTGTTTAGTTCACAAACCATGAAAGAGAACTATAAAAATTATAAAGTGGCAGTGTGGTCATGTACTAAAAATAACAAGGAAGCACACTAGAAGAACAAGTTCTCCATTTGCACAAACAGTGCAGCAATGGTTCTTATTGGCAGACCGAGTGCATCGGTTCAATCAAAGCTGAACAAAGTGGAAACAGTAAAGGTCTGAGAGACATACTAACGTGATCTCGGATTTGATCTTTTCATGGGATTTACTGACAATAACAAAAATAAATAATACTGCTACCTTATCCTATACATGAACATGAGAGAATAGGATATGCACAGAGAGTTGAGAGTAGAGACTTGTTTGAATTTGTTCATTTATTTGGAACCTTCCTCCAAATCACGTGTAATTTTTCCATTTCACAAAATATTTACAAAAAAAGATATTTATGTTGTTTTTTTTCTCTCTATGTTGACTGTGGTAACAGCTCCTTTTTAGGATGATGAACCCTTGCTTACATATACCAGTTCAGTCTTGTTCTCTTAGAAAAAGTTCATGAAAAAAATTCCTCACTTTTCTTCCATACACTCCTTTTAAAACTGCAAACAGTTTTACCCCATTGTTCCTCTTTTTGAGTGCTTTAAAAAAACTCTTCCTTGCATGCTTTCAGCTGCAAACAGGAAGCCAAGAGCTTGTGTGCTTATTGAGAGGAAGTGACATCTTTGCCCTGCAGGAAGTACAATTACAGCATCATCAGATCCTCCAGATGCTTGATTGGTTTGGTCTGTCCAGTCTCTCTGTAAAATAAGAGTCTCTGTAGACAAGCTTAAAACCTACAGATGTACCAAATAACACAAAGTCATTGTAATTATTAAATGGAAACAGTCTTTGTCCTGTGAGAAGCCTGGCAACAGGAAGGGAGAGCTAGGAATAAGGGTCGAATTCCCCAAAACTCGAAGAATGTAGCTCTATTGTACCTCTGTGGGAGAGCATGTGTAGTCCAGGCATAAC